TATATATATTTATTTATATGCGTATACCGTGCTCGTTCATGCCTTGCCCTAATCACAGGCACTTGGAGCGTTTCAATAAAATCAGGAGCGTATAATGACAAATTATACGTCATTATCATACGTATTTGTCATTATACGCTCCTGATAAAATGTACTGCTAATTAAATACGAAATCTATTTACTACCAAAGTCTTAATGTTTCTCTAAGCCTACTCTCTTTCACCTATTATTGCCGACAATTTCCTGTAAATGCAGTCCAAATGCTCATCTGCAACACACGCTGGCTGCTGCACACTGACACATAAATATATAGTTATATTTTTATGTTTATGTGTATGTTTATGTTTATGTGTTTATGTTTATGTTATTTTATGTTTATATATTTATGTGTCAGTGTGCAGCAGCTAGCGTGCGGCAGCCAGCGTGTGTTGCAGATGAGCACTTGGACGGCATTTACAGGAAATTGTCGGCAATAATAAGTGAAAGAGAGTAGGCATAGAGAAACAATTAAGACCTTGGTAGTAAATAGATTTTGTATTTATTTAGTATTACATTTTATTGAAATGCTCCAGCCTCCAAGTGCCTGTGGCCCTAATCATCTTCGTTGTGTTGACATAGAGAAGCCAAATCAGAGAGATAATCCGTTGTTGCGGCGGCGGTTACAAAACAATGCACAGCGATCATTCTGCAACCGCGGTAGCAGCCCTGCATAATGCACTGCTGAGTAGAATCGCCCTTTTTCTTGAGTAGGATAATGAGTAGTACGGATAGTATCGCCATAACTAAAGAAGAGTGGACTAAAGATACTCTTGCAGACCGGCGACATTGTTTTGATGACAGCAATTCCATATTCGTATCATTCTCAACCACTGGTGGCGCCACCGACTAATCAGCTCCGCAGATCAGTGTTCCGACGTTACTTGGCAGTAGATGGCGCCATTATGACTATCTGCCTAGGGTCCCTGTATAGGGTCCCTGTATATAGGGACCCTATATCTGCCTGAGGCTGCACGCTAGAAAAAATTGCCCAAGGATATAAGAGCTGTCGCACTGTTTGCACGTGTCGCATATTGCGAAAATGAATTGTGGTCAGCGATTATATCCATGAAGCGAAAAAATAAATGTACTGGCAATATATCTAGTCTCACGCGTGCTAAACTTTGTATCCACTATCTCTTTTGTGCGCGCCACACAAACGCTCACCAACCAGTTCTTGAACACGGCTCGACAAGGACAATCGGTCAACACGATAAAGGTATATTTTTTTCTCAGTGCGCGTACTACGACAAGCTGTCAGCGTAATAGCGTGAAGACTACATTGTCACCCGCGGAGGTGAAGGAGACGAGAGACGAAGACAAGTTTGAATAAAAATAATGACTCGGTCCCATCCTTCTCCTGCCTATAAGCTACTAAACTTCTCAACATCTTCGCTGTAACGTCCCCTCTGTCCATCTCTATCTTGCTTTCTCTAATCCTCTCTCTCGTCCTCTCTCGCCCGCTCTCTCCCTCTCTCTCTCTCTCTCTCTCTCTCTCTCTCTCTCTCTCTCTCTCTCTCTCTCTCTCTCTCTCTCTCTCGCACCCCATCTCTCTTTCCACTCTCTTTCCTTATCTCTTTCATTCACTCATTCATTCACTCAGTCGCTCGCTCGCTCGCTCGCTTGCGTACAGACACAGCTTGGTGCGGGATAACTGATCACGGGCCTGGCCTTTATTTACGGGGTAAAATTGGTGCGGGACAACGCGTATTTGGAGCGGCATAGCGTGTACACACTGCAAAAATTGGGCGCCAGTTTAATACCATATATCAAATTTGTAGTCTGTACGGGGTAACGTTTGATCTAACTTGGACCTCTCCTTTACCGCGGAGGTAGGAAAAGTAATTGTCGTAATGTTTTCCTCGCCACACTTGGTGCAACAAAATAACAAACATCGTCAGAAACATGACTTTTATACATAGATACAAAGCGCCTGCTGCCCATTCAACGATGGTATGCAACGCTAGCAGGTTTATTTTACATAAAACCCATTTTTACAATCATACGCACATTGGTTCCACGCACGCACGTGACGCGAAGATCACAGTATCATTTGCACATTCTATGCGCTTTAGAAAAATGCACTAATTATATCAATTTACACGACGAGGAATATATGGAAGAATAGTTTCCATAATGAAAAAAACAATCTTTTCTCGAGGTTCAATTCACCAACATATGCGTCGTAGTCGATTTACCTTGATAGGTCATTAATTGCCTGCATATAACTAATAAATACATCTACATATGCTATTCTAGCACATACCAGGCGATACCACACGGAAATTAACAAGGTAAATGGAAAGCAACCTAACTCAAATCATCAGAAATTTCTCGATCTTCATCGATCGAGCTATAACCAGACCATCTCGAAGAAAAGTACGCTGTCCCAAGAAAGGTCTGGTATAGACTACATCCTGGGTCAGAGAGTTTTCATCACGATCGAGGAGTGTTCGCTGTGGATCAGTGTTCGTGCGCCGCTACCCGCCTTAACCATCGTCGTCTTTCTGTCCGTTGTTCTCAGTGCGGCCACTGCGCTTATCTGTCTCGTCCTGGCAGGTATTCTCGGTCTGTTCGATTCTCATGCCGTGCTGTCTGCCTTCGACGCGACGTCGTCCACGCAGGTGTTATGGTGGCACGGGGCGGCAGTGCGTTCCTCTAGGATCTCCTGTATAACGTTGCTGTACAGAGGCGGCGGCCCGTACTCGTTCATAATGATGTCGTAAGATGGCGGCTGAAGATTGGTGTCATGGCGACCGACATCATCGAAGTTACCGCTCACCGTCGCTATGTCCGCATTCTGATTCTGCGGCGCCACTGATGCAGCTAAAAGTAATAATCGCCAGTAAACGTAAATGTAAACTAAAAGTAAAAATAGCTTGGAGCGGTCGTGCGCTCGTATCGCCTGCTCATGTTGAACTACGGCGGTGTGCGTGGCTGCTTTGTTTGCTGCTTTGTTGTGTCTGGTTGTAGGGTACGGCCCGTGGGGGCGTGCGTGTGTACGTGCATGTATATGCGTGCGTGTGCGTGTTTGCATATACGTGTATGCATGCGCGCGTGCTTGGATGTACGAGCTTGCGTGAGTGTGTGTATGTGCGTACGTGCGTGCGTATGTTTACATGTATGTGCTTGCGTGTGTGTGTATATGTGTGTACGTGCGTGCGTGCGTGAGTGTGTTCAGATGTGTGTGCGTGCTTGTGTGCGTGCGTGTGTATATGTGCTTGCGTGCGTGTGTGTGTTACTGTTGAGTCAGTCGCAAGGAAATGTAAGGTCGCCGCGAAAGAGAAAGCATCTTCGATTTTTTCGTTGCTCGCCTGTTGCGACGCGATGTTCGTATTTTAAGCTTTCGCCCTGTTTTTCGACTGAGAAATACGACGCATTTGTTTACCTGCGCGGCTGCCACCTGAACTGGATCTGGAGAAGATTCGTCGGCGGTGGTAGACGGTGAGGAATAGCAGTGAGAGCAAAGTTATGAGAGCGATCGCTATCAGCGTGCCAATTGCAAATGTGTATACCCCCGATTTCTCGCCTGATTCCGACGGGGAGAATGTAGTGATCCACGCTAGAAACGCAGGAATATACGTACAACACCTAAGTACCTAATCACTTACCTACCTACCTACCTACCTACCTACCTACCTACCTACCTACCTACCTACCTACCTACCTACCTACCTGCCTGCCTGCCTGCCTGCCTGCCTGCCTGCCTACCTACCTACCTACCTACCTACCTACCTACCTACCTACCTACCTACCTACCTACCTACCTAACTGCCTGCCTGCGTGCCTGCCTGCCTGCCTACCTACC